GAAATTAGTGATAAATACCAATTTCTCAGGTGAAGGTAACAGTATTCACTTTGGCTCAATCAACTGTCTTGTACCTGCTGGGTTATGGGCATATTACCCAAAATCTGTAGCATTTGTTTGGAAAAATTTTAAGAGAAATAGATAGTCCTGAAGTTGGTTTATTGCCTATATATCTTGGATTCTAAATAGATGATTACCTAACCCCAGGCCAGGGGTGCAGTTGCTTTTTTGGCTTGTTTTCCTCCATCTCTGCATCAAAATAATCCTTTAAAATAGGCTCTCTTAACTCTGTCCTTGCCATCAAGTCTACTTTCTCTGAAATTCAGAAATTAACCTTACTTTCTACAAAAGCCCTAGAACTTAATTCAGGTGTCAGAATCAACGAGCAAGGAAACAAATCAAGAAACACTTTCAGGTTCCTTGATTACGTTCAATTTTTTTGTAGAAGTTTTTTCCTCTGCTTGAAAACTGCACTGCCACCTACCTATCCTTTAGTTCTCAGGTTAAACTCATCCCTTGCAATAAAGCTTCCGAATTTCTCAAATCTTAACGAAGTCTTTTACTCAATGCTCCCACAACACCCTGCACTTTTCCCATCTCAGCACTCATCAACGAAGGAGAATCCAATCGTCTCAACCATCTTTGTTGCCCCAGCACCTGGTATGCAGTAGCGCAAAAAGCAAACAATAAAACCAACCAAGCCTTTATAAAAAAAAATGTGTGAAACAAATCAATTAAAAGCAGACATTAAGTCATGTTATCATCTCCATCTGATAAGAAACATAAAGCATTAAAGATAACCTCTGCTAATTATTCATTTTACATATGAGGAAACTAAGGTACAAAGAGGAAAATTAAGTTGCTTGAAGTTCCAAAAACCGGTGAATGACCACAGAAAATAGAACCTGGGACTCGGGAATCCGGAGCTATTTTTGCACTGTATTGCGCCGCACCCATTTAAATTTCATGTCCTATCTGACACAAACCGGATCCGGCAAACTGAAATACTCAGAGTAAGGAATTTCTGGAAAGACAATTTGGCTTGCCTCTTCTCCCCAGAATCTATACGAAACCGGCTCCGGGGAGTCCTCCAAGTCTAATTATCAGGCATTTGGCGTTTTCCTAGGGGAAAAAAAGGCCCCGCCGGCCGATCGTGGAGCCTTGACACCTCACTCCAGAAACTAAACTAAAAAGCCGGAGGTCAAAATCCCGCGCTCGGAGACGGAGAGCAGTCCTTTTATCACATTGCTTCACTCATCAACTTTTTAGTCCTCCCCGCTTCCCGGTTCGCTCAGCCAGCGCACATCCCAGAGCTACTTCCCACCTCGAATCTAAACCGGTCTTACTGTATGATCTCCTCACTGACATCCAGGCCGAAAGTTTTCCGCAACTGCTGGGTGCACCAGCCCACCAGCTGCTCCTGAGACGCCGCCCCGGCCACCGCCATTTTCCCCAGCCGGAACCAGCTGGGCTACAAACGTTCGGCGTCCTGCGCCGGACTAGTTCCCTTCGCAACACCGACCTCGCTCGCGCGGGTTCCGCCAGCCGGCACCGCCCCAAGCCGTAGCACCGCCCCACGCCGTAGCACCGCCTCCAACACAGATCCCTCCCACCTGTGCCACCTCCTCCTTCCCACTTCCTGATGTTTTCAATTGTACCAGGGCTCCATCTGTGCGTGATGCTTCCGCGTCGTCAGATGTAGGACGTGAAAATTGGGAATTCTGCTGAGAAGACAGTGCAAATACCTATAAAAACTACAGGTTAGGAAAAAAACAACATAATACCCTGTAACTGGAGGGGCCAGCTTTTGAATTGGTCTGGTTTTATGTAAAACATTTTAAATAGCACTTGAAAACTAAGAGTAAATGCTGTAAGGATTTGCTCCGGTGGCACTGTGGTTTTTATACAGTCCAATACTAGAGTCAGGCTGCTAAAATCTCTATTTATTTTTTTGAGCCAGGTCTTTTCTAGGAGGGCCACGACAACTTTGCAAGCTCAAGGAGGGGAAAACAAGTAAAACAGGTGCTGGGGTTTGGCTTTGAAGACCTTCCACATGAATCATACGTATTGATTTTTAAGAAGTTAAAATTATTTGAACCCAAGGTGACCAGAGTTAAAGGTCTTTGGCTACTTCCTACTCCACTGGGACAACGGACTGGGAAAAATTTAGCCAGATTTTTCTGGAGAACATAATGTCTTCTGACATAGTTCATCAGTAAATTTAATTGACTGGCTTTATGTTACGTGTATAGGTTTTTCATTCACATTAGGCTGTTTAGGCTATGTAATTACAATAATGGATGCTGTTTCACCTTTTTATGTTAATATTTTTACCAACATAAATAATCAGAATCATATATATGTTGATGTACATTAAGTATAGATTGTCTTTATTATTAATTTGGAAAATCCATGATTTACCAGCTTAAAAAAACACTCTGAATGTTCATAAATGGTACAAGTTTTGTTTCTTCATAGAAATCTGCTACGTTTAATACTAATTCTAACGTATTCAACTTCCTTACCTGTTTTTATACTGTTCTGTTAACTAAAATGTTAAATTTTTGGAGACAGAGACTAACCTAAGCTATTTGTACAATAGGACTTAGTATATCATGCATATTATGATGAAATTACGAGAACCTTAAGAATAAAAATGTTCTTTTTTTATAAGGAATATGTTAATGATTGTAATCTCTAGTTTGTAATATATGTAATATAATGCCATTCATAATCATCATTTTAAAATTGAAATACAGTTGATTTACAGTGTTGTGTCAGTATCACAGCAAAGTGACTCAGTTATACATATATATACTTTTTCATTTTTATCCAATATCGGTTACTACAAGATATTGAATATAGCTCCCATTATCATTTATTAAAATAAATTTCTGCCTGAACAAAGCAAGCACATTTATTTAATATGATTTAAAGATATTCTTATGTATAAATTTAGGCAGAAATTTCATTTGTACATACTACAACTTTTCTTAATGCCCTACACCTTTAGAAATTTCACATTCACACCACACAACTCTGTTTTATTTAACTGTAAAGGAGAAGAACTTCAACAAAGCAAACATTTAAATTAAGATTTTTTTGGAGGAGGGGAGGGTATAGCTCAGTGGTACAGTGTATGCTTAACATACAGGCGGTCCTAGGTTCAATCCCCAGTATCTCCATCAACAAATAGTCTCTTTTATCCCATGTCCTCGAGTTTCTTCCCTTGTTTTTTTTCCTTGAAATATATTCAGTTTACAATATTGTGTCAATTTCTGATGTATAGCATAATAGTTCAGTCATACATATACATGCATATATTTGTTTTCATATTCTTTTTCCTTCTAAGTTACTACAAGATATTGAATAGTTCCCTGTGGTATACAGTATAAACTTGTTGTTTATCTATTTCATATTTATTAGTTAGTATCTGCAAACCTCAAACTTCCAATTTATCCCTTCCCACCCTCTTTCCTCCTTGGTAACCAAAAGTTTGTTTTCTATGTCTGTGAGTCTGTTTCTGTTTTGTAAATAAGTTCATTTGT